AAAGTATCTGTCTCGCAAATTTTAAATAGTAAGAGCTATAGTATATAGTGGAATATAAATTTTATTCTGTAACCGTACGAAGTAAATTTAAATATACTACTGATGATTTGAGTACCTGAAAATAATATGAAAGTGACAAGAATTACATAAATAAGAGAGAGTACACACATATACACACACATACACACGCGCGCGCGCACAGTAGCTGTCAACAAAATTTTTTTTTAATTAGCAATTTAGTTCAAAATTATCGGTTTTCGATTCCAACCGTTCAAATGTGTCGTTACTCCTCTCCATTGTAGATCTGTTCACCCAGAACAAGATTCAATTGGAATTTTTTCGGGATTTTCTAAAGAGCCTTACATCGTGTTCAGCAATCAAAAAAATTTGAAATCCAGATTAAATTATTTTTGCATCAAATCAAATATGTATTAAGGAAAATCAAAACTTTGATTTAAAAATCATTCACTAGCGACTTCTAAATCTTAATATTTTTAAATAAAAATTTAGGAATGATCTTTTGGCATGAAATGGAAACTTCTGAGCTAAGTGAATAAAAAAAAAATTTTTTTTTACAAGCCATACATAGGTAAATTAACAATCAAGTTTGGCGATTAAACAATAATAATAATAATTGTGAAAAACTTACAGCACCAAATGTATTTATAGATAAATCGATAAATTTGCCAGCTGTAAGTTTAGGCGGATAATGAGACATTGCGATGATTAGCACGAGTTCCAGAGCTTTATTTCCAGATAAATTATACCAGTCGATTTCATAGGTAGCGGCACCAATTTTGCTATACTGAAAATACGAAATATTAATACATAAATGCACTTGTATTTTCTATAATGTATGTGCACGATTATTATTATTAAATATTATTATTATTAAAAAATACATTATTATTTATAATCTATTATATTAATACTGAAAAAACATTTGCAAATATTTTAATTTTAATAAATATTTGTTTAAGTAGTATTAACAAAACATTTATTTATAAATGCAAGCAAATATTTATTCAATAAAAAAATTTAATCAAATTTATAGTTCATGTATGAATCAAATAAATATATGTTTACATTTAATAAATATTTAGTTAGTACTATTCAAAAATATTTATTAAAATTTAGGATAATTATTTACATTACAGAATCCCCCAATGACTTTAATATTTGACATACGTTATCAAGATCATGACCCTAAGTGATTTTCAACAAGTTTTAGCCGTTGCTCTTTATTTGTTAAAAAATTATTCGCAATCAAAATTAATAATTTCTCTGCTTTGTATGAAAAAATAATCTAGGATGACAGGTTTGAGGACTGATTAAGGGAATACGACTTTCTACGCGAAGCGAGTTCCACTTCACCTTCCTCTTATCAAAGGGCATTCGACTTTCCACATAAAGAGAGACTTTCCACCCCCCCCTTCCCCCCCTGCTACTCAATATTAGGGTGGATCTACGTGGAAAGTCGTGTGTCTCTAAGGGGGAGATGGGATTGATTTCGCTGCGCGAAAGTCGTATTGTCTTAATCGGTCCATTCCGTACTTTTTTCCCTGCCTAGAGTTATTTGATTTATCATAAAACAGGGAAATAATTATCAACTTTGACTGTTGATAACTTTTTAATGAATAACAAGTGACAGCTACTTGTTGAAGATCACTCAAAATCATGATCTTGACAACATATATCAAGATCAAGGTCATTGGAAAGCTCTGAATCTAATGTATATAATTACTAAATTTAGTACTTTTTATTCAGTGTATTATTTGAAAAATTTTTTACAAAATCATAATAATTAAATAAAGCACATTTTAAATACTCTTTGAAAAATATACATATTAATAATGAAATTTATATTCTTCCTCTTCTTTCTAATGCAAAATTTTTTGTATTGCAGATTTAAACCAACTTATTAGTAATACAGTAAAAGATAAGTGAAAAATTTTCTTATGCTACAAATATTATGAAAATACCTGTTCCACGAGGAGCTCACCGATATAACAAAATATCAGAACGTTAAATGTGAAAGATATCAACAAGATGAAATATGTCAAGATGGCTATGGCATCGCTATTTTCCCATTCCTGAGAAGGTAAATTGTACTATGACAAAGTTCAACAAAACTGTCTATATAAATTGAATTTTGCACATAACTTTAAGAAAGATTATGTTATCGTAAGATCAATATAATACGTCGATATTGTTTTTTTTACCGTTAGGCAATAATATTCGAGTAAACATATAGTCAAAGTAGAAGTCAGCAGTTCCAGTAAACATATTTCGCGTAGCACTTCCTCCACGCTGGCTGAAAATCTAGAAGCGTGTCACGTATCTATCCGAAAATCTAGAAAATCACGCGAAATACACATCCACTTGCACACTTTCCTCGCATTTTCCACTTACCTCAGTATTCGTACATGATGTTTCGCTATCGCGCTCAAACGTTTTTTCACGGTGGTGTTCTTGCTCCATTTTCCTTCGACCAAATCGTCCAACAACAACATTAGTATATCTATTTGTCCGCATGCGTGCGTCACAAAAATCGCTGCCAAACTACAGGATGCCGTTGTGATGTGATACGTGATCATCGCGAATAGGATATGAATGCAGAACACGATCTCATAAGCAGGGCTGACTCTGGGATCGAAAAACATATCGTAACCGGGATAAGTGTGTATTCTAATCGTATAATTCTCGTTAATTTCTTGTCTGGAAGATAACGGCATTATTATATGGTAAGACAATCCACCGGTGTAAAGGAAAATCGCACACAGCGTGGTGAGTCTGCGTCCTATCAGCACTTTCTTCAGCATTATCTCGCGAGTTTGATGCTGCACGATCCGCCAATCGTCCTCGACATGTCGAATACATCTTCCGAACGCGGCAGCGCGCGCACCAAAGTAACAGTATTTGATTGTGTTAGTCAGGCAGAAGCCGACCGGACCGAAAAGCTTGACTTTAATGCTGATGTCCTTCTCGCGAAATAAAGTATAAAATCCGGCAGGTATCAGGACGAAACATAGAGCGGAGAAGCATATGACGATTAATATTATCGAGATGAACTTCTCATTCTGCGACGGATGACCATAGATCGGGTGCCATATACCGATTGGTTTTAGCACCCAGCGGCACAGCTGCATTGTGTAACGTATATCATGCTTATGGTGTACATTGTACATTTTGAGCGTTCTTCCTGTAAGTTGGAATCGATCGCGCATGCTGTCGCTCGCGGAGCACAACGATGACTGAAACGCGGACGTTACGCAACGTTCCGTTTCTCGCGACGCAAGCGCGCAGAAATAATGACTTCAGTATCGCGTGCATGTGCGTTTTATGTCTGTCATATGTATATAACCAAGTAACTCAGCCATGCGTATGCGAACTCTCCCCCCCCCAGTCATTACTCGTCCGAGGGCTCGTCCAGTGATGTGTAAGCGCGAAGGGATCGAAAGTTCATAACGAGTCCACGCACAATGCGTAACATAGATATCTTCAAGGCGAGATTCATCGTTGGCGACTTTTTGAATATTTATACTACATATAATATAAATATGCATTTTATATATTATTTTACAATATAATTGCAGTTTTCTTTTTTTCTCATATGGTAAATTTTAATTTTTAAATAGTACAATCGATTTCTTGTCTCAAAGTCAAATCATAATAGAGTTAATTTAATAGTAAGTTAAATTAATAATTTATCTATTTTATGATTAATTGAATGACAACTAATAAAATAATGAACATGATATATGTCAATTTATTATTGATTTCTATATAATATTTCTTGAGAAAAAATAGATCTATAACAAATTTGCTACCACTAACAATAACAAGGATTTAAGTTTTATTGCGTAACTGTTCGAAGTAAATTTAAATATACTACGGATGTTTTAAGTACCTAGAAACAATGTAAACTTTAAAAACATGAATTAATAATGTAATAATTATAAAAGAATGAATAGAATTGATTAAAAAAGTTTACAAATGTAGAATTATGAGTATATATAATTATTTAAACAATAATAATAGTTATTTATGACACTCACGGTGCTGAAAGTATTGAGAGATAAATCACAGAATTTGCCAGCTGTAAGTTTGGGTGGATAATAAGACTTCATCATAATCATAATAAGATCCATAGCTTTATGGCCAGATAAATCATACCAATTAACTTCATACGCTGCTAAGCCGATTTTGCCAAACTAATGAAAATAGAAATAATTGAATATTAATTGTTATTATTTATCAATTATTATTTTTTATTTAAAATAGGATTTATATACTATTTATTTAAAATAGAATTTATATGAATTTTTGATGAAGATACTCTGAAAAAAAATTTTTATTATCTGCAATATTCGTAAAAAATACCTCTTCTATGAGAAATTCGCCGATATAACAAAATATTAATACGTTGAATGTTAAGGCTATAAATAACAAAATATATGACATGATGCCCACGGTATTGCTGTTCTCCCATTCCTGAGAAGATAAACATACAACTAAGTAAGTATCTTAATAATTTATCAAAAAGAAGATTATTTCCGTTTCACTATGATTAAAGTACTTGTTATAATACTATATTAATGCATATTTTTATAAAAATGTAGACAGTAAACTCTGAGAGTGCATCCAGATTATTCGAACTGAAACTCAAGCCGAATATAGAGCCGCGAACATTTCGGCTAACTTTCATTGCTTTTTGTCGAGCGGCGTAACAAATGTTTACCAAAATATTCGCGGCTCGAGATTCATCTTGAGTTTCGACTCGAATTTCGGCTCGATAATAATCTGAACGTACCCTAAAAAAATATATTTATTTGCATATGCTACAAAAACTTTCTTGTTTTGACATATCGGAAAAGATTATTACAAGTCGCAGATTGTGAATAAGGAATATTATAAGATGAGTAAAATTTGTCTGCATCAAATACTTACATTGCTGAAAGATAAAAAAAGACGAATCACTATATAAACGTAACAGATATAATATTAATTATGTCTGGTTTTTGGAACAAATGCAGGACTCATCCATTTTTATCAATATTGTATATTATTGTAGCAAGCCCTTTAATTATAATGTTAAATCAAGAGCTATATTAAAAGTACGATAAAATTTGTAATACGCGGATAGCTATAGTTACGTTATCGTGATGTGTGTCTGCTACCGTAATTTTCTTACCATTAAGAAAAGATACTCGAGCAAGCATATCATCAAGGTTGCGGTCACCAGTTCCACTAAGCATACTTCACGTAATATTTTCTCCACGTCAGTCGTAAATCTAGAAACGCGCCATGTATCTACTCCAAATAAGTCTAGAAACGCGTCATGTAAACTATCTCGGCGCTTTCTCCGTCTCACCTCAGCACACGCACATGATGCTTCGTTAAGAAGCTCAGACGTTTCTCCATATTGGTACCTTCAGTCCTCTTCCCATTAATTAGATCATCCAAAAGCATCACCAATATCTGCACCTGTCCGCGTGCGTGCGTCGCAAAGTTCGCGGCCAGACTGCACACTGCTGCCGTAGCGCTATACTGTATCACAGCGGACAGGCAGTGCATACAAAAGATGATTTCGTAAGCGGGACTTGTTTGAGAATCGAAATAGAGATCATATCCCGGATAAAGCAGCGATTTACTTGTGAAGTTACCGTCTGTCTTTGTTCTGGAAGTAAATGGCAAGATCGTATGATAAAACAAGCCGCCACCGTAAAGAAAAATCACGCACAGCATCGTTATTCTGCGGCCTATCAGCACGTTCCTCAGCATCATTCTGCGATGATTCTGATATTGCATTATCCGCCAATCGCTCTCGACGTGTTCGATACACTTTCCGATCGTTGAGATACGCGTTCCGAGGAAGCAATATTTGATCACGGAAGTTAGACAGAAGCTAACTGGTCCAAGAAACTGGATTTTACTTTGAATGTCCTCGTCGTAGAATAGAAAGTACGAACCGGCAGGCACAAGCACAAAGCATAGACCGAAGAAACTCATGAAGATCAGCATTAAAGAAAGGAGCTTCTCGCTTTGTGAAGAGCGACCGTAAATTATGTGCCAAATACCGATTGATTGCAGGATCCACCGACTTAACTGTATAGCGTAATATATGTCTTGCTCATAACGTATGTTATGTATCCTTTCTGGAAGTGAAGATCGATAGCTCATACTGCCTACGAAGTGTAACGATGACTGAAACATGCGGACGTTACGCGACGTTCCATTTCTCATGACGCAAGCGCGGGCAAGTAATGACTTCAATGTTGCGTGTATGTGCGTTTCATGGCTGTCATGTATGACCAGGTGCTCAGTCATGCGTATGCGAACGATTTATTCTCCCCTCGGTCATTGCTTGTCCGTGGGCTCATTCAGTGATGTGCAAGAACGAAGGGATTGGAAATTCATAACGCAAAGCATAGGCTCGATATCTTTCAAGCGAAATCCACCGTTGATGATTTTTAAAGTATTATTTATACATTAAATGTTATTTTACAATTACAATTTTCTAGTTTTATTTCTCTTTTTTTGATATAGTGAATTTTAATTTTTAAACGCAGTACATTTTTTGTCTTATCAATCAAATCGTAATAGTAAGTTGATTTCATTTATCAGTATTTATAATTTATTTTTCTTTTATCAATAAATAATTATAATCTCTTTTTTAAAATTGATTGAATGACACATTATGACAGATAATGAATATGACGTTAATATTATATATTATTTTTTGAGAATAGATATAAAAAATTTGCTGTCAGGAACAATAATGAGAATTATACTTATAAATTTTGTATATTTTTTGTATAAGTTTTATTGCGTAACTGTCCAAAGTAAATTTAAATATACTACGGATGTTTTATGTATCTAAAAACAATGTGAATTTTAGAAATATTATTTAATAATGTAACAATAACAATTAAAAACAAATATAATAGAATAGAATTGAACAAGGTGGAGACCATCAGTTTTACAAGTATAGAATTACACAAAGTTACTTAATCAATAAGAATAGTTATTTATGACACTCACGGTGCTGAAAGAATTGAGAGATAAATCATAAAACTTGCCAGCTGTAAGCTTGGGTGGATAATAAGACATTTTATTGATCATCACAAGATCTACAGCTTTGTGACCTGGTAAATCATATCAATTAACTTCATACGCGGTTGAATCAATTTTGCCAAACTATTAAAAATAAAAATAATTGAATATCAGAATTATATTATGTTTGTTAATATTCAATCATCAAAATGAGATTGATATATTATGGACTTTCAATAATTGTACTTCTGAAAAAATTTTTATTATTAACAATATATTGTAAAAATACCTCTTCCACGAGGAGTTTGCCGACATAATAAAATATTAGAATGTTGATTGTTAAAGATATCAGTAACATAAAATATGTTAAGATGGCCACGGCATCGCTATTCGCCCATTCCTGAGGAGACAAACGTATAATTAGATATTTTCAATTTATTAATGAAAAAAGAAGAAATCCTTTCTATTTCATTAAAGAATTGATTAAAGGACTTACTACAATATTAGACACGTAACACACATTTCGTAAAAATGGAGAAAGTAAACTCTAAAGTTAAAAAGATGGGAAAAATACATTCTACAATCCTCTTTGATGTTTTGACATATATCCAGAAAGTTTATTACGAAATGCAGATTGTGTATACAAATATTATAAAATGAGTAAAATTTTCTATATTAAATAACTACATTGCAGAGATAAAAAATACGAATCATTACATAAACGCATACATAACAAATGTAATATTAATTAATTTATCTTTTGTAACAAATAAATGACTCATTCAGTATTACATATTCGACTAATTTATTGCAGCAAGCCCTTTAATTATTGTAATTTTAAATCAATAGCTATATTAAAAATACGACAGAACTTGTTATACACGATAAAGATATAATTATGTTATTGTGATGTATACATGTCTGCTATCATAATTTTTCTTACTGTCATGCAATAATACTTGAGCAAACATATAATCTAGGTTGCAGCAAGTCTCAATAAGCATATTTCACATAATATTTTCTCCACGTTAGTACTAAATCTAGAAACGCGCCCTGTATTTATCCCATATAAATCTAAAAACGCGATGTAAACTATCTCGACGCTTTCCTCGTCTCACCTCAGCACACGCACATGATGCTTCGTTATCAATCTTAACATTTCTCTACATTGGTTTCTCCACTTTTAGTTCTCTCCTATCGACTAGATCATCCAAAAGTGTCATCAATATCTGCACCTGTCCGCACGCGTGCGTCGCAAAACTTGTAGCCAGGCTGCATGCTGCTGTTGTAACGCTATATCATAGCAGACAGGCAGTGCTTGCCTAAGATGATCCCGTAAGCGGGACTTGCTTGAGGATCGAAATAGAAATCATATCTTGGATAAACCAGCGGTCTACTTGTGAAGCTGCCATTCATCTTCGTTCTGGAAGACAATGGCATGATCGTATGATAAGACATGTCGCCGGTGTAAAGAAAGATCACGCACAATGTCGTTAGTTTGCGGCCCACCAACACGTTCCTTAGCATCATTTTGCGATGGTCATAATGTCGCACGATCCGCCAATCGCTCTCGACGTGTTCGAAACATCTTCCGATCGACGAGGCTCGCGCTCCAAGGAAGCAATATTTGATCGCGAAGTTAGACAAAATCCAACTGGTCCAAAAAGCTTACCTTAATGTTAATGTCCTTCTCATGAAATAGAGTATGTATGGACCGGCGGGTACAATGAAGCAGAGACTAAAAAAACATACAAAGATCAATATTAGCGAAAGAAGTTTCTCGTTTTGTGACGAGCGACCGTCAAATCATGTGCCAAATACCAATCGGTTTCAGGATCCATCAGCATAGCTGCATAGTGTAGTATATGTCGTGCTCGTAATGTATATTGTGTATCCTGTCTGAAAGACAGGTATCGATCGCGCATGCTGTCGTCCATAGTGTTCAATGCCGACTGAAATACACATACGATATCATCCTGATGTGGCGACGCAAGGGCGGGAAAATAATGATGTCGTGATCCCATGCATGTTATGTGTAACGTAAGGGGAAGACGTGCGTGCACATCTCCCTTTCTCAGTCATTGCATGTCTGAGAATCGTCATGTCGATGATGAATGAAAGTGCGTAACAACATTGAAATTTACGAATTCTAATATAGTTGTGTGGATATACGCATCCTCGCTGTTTCTCTAGTGCGTAACGGAACGTTGGAAATATTACAATATATAAGTGCGTAAGATAAGTTATGTGCACTTTGCGTAACATAGTATATAACTTAGTTTTATATTGTATTTTGTAGGGAGTACAATATAATATTAGTTAATCTGTAATTTCAATTTTGTCAGTATCGTAATAAATTTAATTCTATTTAAGTTTATATTTACAGCGATAATTTATGTAACTTGATTTATTAACAAATATGCTGACGTATATATATCTAAATTTTATTAAATACATTTTTTAACGCACTAACGTTACTATATAGTACATCTCGATAACGATGATTTTAACGTATTATATGTAGAAGGTACGAAGTAAATTCAGGTAAGCCACGAATGCTTTAACAGTCTGGAATTTTGTCTTCTTTCTATTTCTTATAAATAATCAAAAATAATTTTCATGTATGAGTAAAAATAATTTTAATACTACTCACACTCTACAAAAACTGGCTAAGGATAAATCCATAAATTTTCCAGCTGTAAGTTTGATGATATTCGACATTATTAATGTTAAATCGATTGCTCCCTTATTTGGTATACGATATCAATTTATCATATAAGACTTCATGCCGATTTGTATACACTGTTAAAAACATTTTGATGATTTTTATATGGGCAATAATTATGCCATATCTGACGTATATAGACAACAATTCTTATAACGCGTTGAACAACTTAGTCATTTACGTTACAAAGTTCTTATAAAAATTGAATTTGAATTTTTTATATAAAAGTTAAGTTTAACACGAGCTTCAATTAAAAAATATCGAAATCCTTTAGTTCGAGGAAATTAACTATAAAGTTGAGAAAATAAAATTTCTATTTTTCTTATTGTTACTCCAAGAATGTTTCAAGTCTCTTGAAATGAACAACGTAGAGAGAGTTGTTGAATACATACCACTTAATTTATTTTTTATTACATTTTTCATTTAGCACTGTTTTGTACACAAATAAATATTAGAAATTTTAGCTCAAGGTTTTATTATTGCATGTTTAACTTTTCACCAATAATAAATTAATTATTAATAAGTCTTTTTGTATATGCTGCACAAAATAAGATTTGGGCAATCGATCGCCTAAATCGTTTCTGTAAGTCTTTTTTAAATCGTATTTCCTTTGAAAGTATTTAATTTATGAACGAAAATAATTGAAAATATTAGATTAATAATAGTCATTAATTAATATGTAATAATTAATTACCTAGATAACATTTATATTGCATAAGATATCCAAAAGATATCTTTTAGATGTCTTGTGTCTAAAAGATGTTTAAAAGACGTTTTTTAGATATCTTATCTTGCAATATGCATGTTATCTGGATAATATCTAAATTTAATAATTTATTGAAGAAAATCAAATATTTAATAATTATTTCATAAGAATTATAAAAAGATAACAAAATAAAATTGGCTCAAATATATTTTTATATTTGATATTTACTGATATAAATTAGTTTTATTGTCAATTATCAATCTTATCTCTCTAATGGTATGATTTAGAAAATGATGGATTTTGTAAAAATGTCGGTTTAATCTTTATAATGATTGCAAATATATGTATATATTAATGTATGTGCTAATGTAGAATATTCTACAATAAATTTTGTTTTTTTAAATAAGAATATAAAAATTTACAATAAAATTGAATGATCGCGTTGTTATCTACATAAATTGATTAAAAATTAATATCAGATGTACCTAATTTTTTAAAACGACACTAACGTCTTTAAAATAAGACTATTATATCTTTGTCTATATTACTCATTTTTCAATTATTTTATGCTATTAAATGTAGCCTATATTAAGTAATAATGTAAAATATTGATGAAGTATGATTTAAATGACCAGTAAGTATTCGGCGATTTTCCTCAAATTATAGTAGAGAAAAGTTGCCATTACAATTTAAGTACCTGTTCAGCAAGAAGTTCACCAATATAGCAAAGGATAAACATATTGAACGTGAAAGATATAAGCAATGAACAGAACGTCATTGTTCCCAATGTTTCACGATGTTCCCATTCCTAAAAGGCTAATATCAAAATGTTATGAGCATTAAATGTAATTGTACTATATTGTGAACTTACTTAAAATATTGTCTGTAAATATGTTTCGTACCGTCATCATATTGAATCCTAGAAAACATATGTTTAATGTAAATTACATCCAACTACATCCATCAGTGAACTAATCATCAGTCAGTTCGACATGCGCATGTGCGTCTTCTGTCGTTAATAAACGTTCGTGCGTGAATTGATTCCTTCCTGTCCCTTTCTATTTGCTGGCTGTTTCATTATTAGTGAGACGGATTATAGTTCCTGGAATTTTATTGGATGCTTCGTGCAAATTCTTTTGCGGGGATGCAGATAAGAAAATAAATTTTATAGGAAAAAAGGGTTCTAATCGTTCATTAAAGGGGAATATGTAATATACTTGAAACATGTTTTCTACTTCATAGTATTTTCTAACATAATCGGCTTTATTTGTAAAGACTGATTTCACCCCTTAAAATTGTCCTTCCACATAACTAATATTTTCTAATTTCATTTATAGATTCTAACTTCATTTATAGATTAACCTAATTTATACGTGTTTCATTAAAATTATACCAAATTCAAATCAGAATTTGACATTTTGCGAGGTTCCCTTTTAATTATAATATCAAACTTGATGTAATACTTGATATAATATCAAATGAAATAAATAATTAATAATATCTGAATTAATCGAAGGTATATATATTATTTTATTATTAATACTTCCTCTACAATATCTATAATAAAAATATCTGTCTGCAAATTTTAAATTGTAAGAGCTATAGTATATAGTGGAACATAAATTTTATTCTGTAACCGTACGAAGTAAATTTAAATATACTACTGATGATTTGAGTATCTGAAAGTAACAAGTGACAAGACTCAGAATTATATAAATAAGAGAGTGTACACACACACACACACACACACACACACACGCGCGCGCGCGCGCGCGCGCGCGCACGTATGCACTTACATACTCACGCACGCACGCACGCACTCACACACACGCGTGCGCGCGCGAACAGTAGCTAAGAAAATTTTTTTTTAATTAGCCACTTAGTTCGAAATTATCAGTTTTAAATTCAATCGTTCAAATGTGTCGTTACAATTGAAGAGAAGTAACTTGTTCTAGGTGAATAAGATTCAGTTGGAATTTTTCTGGCTCCTAAAGAGCCTTACATCGTGTTCAGCAATCAAAAAAACATCCTTTTGAAATCCAGATTAAGCCATTTTTGTATCAAATCAAACCTTAATACTCGTATTAAGGAAAATCAAAACTTTGATTTAAAAATCGTTCACTAGCGACCTCTAAATCTTAATATTTTAAAATAAAAATTTGGGAGTGTTCTTTTGGCATGAAATGGAAAACTTTTGAGCTAAGTGAATAAAAAAAAATTTTTTGTAAGTCTCATACATAGGTAAATTAACAATCGAGTTTGGCGATTAAGCAATAATAATAATAATTGTGTAAGAAACTTACAGCACTAAATGTATTCATAGATAACTCGATAAATTTGCCAGCTGTAAGTTTAGGCGGATGATGAGACATTGCGATGACTAGCACGAGTTCCAGAGCTTTATTCCCAGATAAATTATACCAGTCGATTTCATAGGTAGCAGCACCAATTTTGCTATACTGAAAATACGAAACATTAATACATAAATACACTTGTATTTTTTATAATGTATGTGCAAGATTATATAAAATACATTAATATTTATAATCTACTGTATGCATACTGAAAAAATGTTTGCAAATGTTTTAATTTTAATAAATATTTGTTTAAGTAGTACTAACTAAACATTTATTTACAGCAAATAAATCTTTATCCAATAAAAAAATTTAATTAAATTAATAGTTCATGTATGAATCAAATAAATATATGTTTACATTTAATAAATAATTAATTAGTACTATTATATTTAAAAATATTTAATATTTAGGATAATTATTTACATTACAGAATCCCCCAATGATCTTAATCTTGACATATGTTGTCAAGATCATGATCCTCAGTGATTTTCAACAAGTTTTAGCCGTCGCTCTTTATTTGTTAAAAAATTATTTGCAGTTAGTTAATAATTTTCCTGCTTTACATGAAAAAAGTAATCCAGATAGGGAGACAGATTTGAAATACGACTTTCTATGCGAAGCGAATTCCACTTCACATTTCTCTTGTTAAAGGATATCCGATTTTCCACGTAAAGGGAGATCCACCCCCCCCCCTGCTTAAGGGCGCATGATTTTCCATACAAAGCGATGCCACCTAATACTACGGGATCTCTGTGGAAAATCGTATTGCCTTAATCGGTCTATCCCATCTCTTTTTCCCTGTCTAGAATTATTTGATTTATCATGTAAAGCAGGGAAATAATTATCAACTTTTACTATTAATAATTTTTTAACGAATAACGAGCGACAGCTATTTGTTGAAGGTCACTCAGTATCATGACCTTGACAACATATATCATTGGATATATGTTATATAAGGTCATTGGAAAGATCTGAGTCTAATGTAAATAATTATTAAATTTAATACTTTTTTTTGCATTTGAAAAATTTTTTACAAAATCATAATTATTAAATAAAGCATTTTAAATATTCTTTGAAAAATATAGGTATTAATAATGAAATTTATATTTTACCTCTTCTTTCTATTGCAATTTTTTTGTATTGCAGATTTAAACCAACTCATTACTAATACAGTAAAAGATAAGTGAAAAATTTTTTTATTCTACAAATATTATGAAAATACCTGTTCCACGAGGAGTTCACCAATGTAACAAAATATCAGAACGTTAAATGTGAAAGATATCAACAAGATGAAATATATCAAGATGGCTATGGCATCGCTATTTTTCCATTCCTGAGAAGGTAAAACGTACTATCACAAAGTTCAACAAAACTATCTATACAAACTTTATTTTGCACTTTAAGAAAGACTATGTTCGTAAAGTATCGTAAAGTCAATATAATACGTCGTAAAGTCGATGTTGTTTTCTTTACCGTTAGGCAATAATATTCGAGCAAACATATAGTCAAGGTATAAGTCAGCAGTTCCAGTAAACATATTTCGCGTAGCACTTCCTCCACGCTGGCTGAAAATCTAGAAGCGTGTCATGTATCTATCCGAAAATCTAGAAAATCACGCGCAATATATATCTACTTGCACACTTTCCTCGCATTTTCCATTTACCTCAGTATTCGTACATGATGTTTCGCAATCGCGCTCAGACGTTTTTTCACGGTGGTGTCCTTGCTCCATTTTCCTTCCACCAAATCATCCAACAACAATATTAGTATATCTATTTGTCCGCACGCGTGCGTCACAAAAATCGCTGCCAAACTACAGGATGCCGTTGTGATTTGAAGCGAGATCATCGCGAATAGAATATGAATGCAGAACATGATCTCATAAGCAGGGCTGGCTGTGGGATCGAAAAACATATCGTAACCGGGATAAGTGTTTATTCTAATCGTGTAGTTCTCGTTAATTTCTTGTCTAGAAGATAACGGCATTATTATATAGTAAGACAATCCACCGATGTAAAGGAAAATCGCACACAGCGTGGTGAGTCTGCGTCCTAGCACTTGCTTCAGCATTATCTCGCGAGTTTGATGATGCACGATCCGCCAATCGTCCTCGACATGTCGAATACATCTTCCGAACGCGGCAGCGCGCGCACCAAAGTAACAATATTTAATTGTGTTAGTCAGGCAGAAGCCGACCGGACCGAAAAGCTTGATTTTAATGCTGATGTCCTTTTCGCGAAATAAAGTATAAAATCCGGCAGGTATCAGGACGAAACATAGAGCGGAGAAGCATATGACGGTTAATATTATCGAGATGAACTTTTCAATCTGCGACGGACTATGACCATAGATCGGATGCCACATACCGATCGGTTTTAGCATCCAGCGGCACAGCTGCATTGTGTAACGTATATCATGCTTATAATATATATTGTACATCTTGAGCGTTCTTTCTATAAGTTGGAATCGATCGCGCATGCTGTCGCTCACGGAGCACAACGATGACTGAAACGCGAACGTTACGCAACGTTCCGTTTCTCGTGACGCAAGCGCGGGAAAGTAATGACTTCAATATCGCGATCATGAACGTTTTATGTCTGTTATATGACCAAATGTTCAGCCATGCGTATGCAAACGATTGACTCTCCTCCCGGTCATTACTCTATTACTCGTCTGAGGGCTCGTCCAGTAATGTGAAAGCGCGAAGGGGTTGAAAGTTCACGAGTCCACGCACAATGCGTAACTTAGATATCTTCCAGGCGATATGCCAAAACTATATCGTTGGCGATTTTTGAATATTATTTATACTACATATAATATAAATATGCATTTTATATATTATTTTACAATATAATTGCAGTTTTCTTTTTGTCTCATATTGTAAATTTTTAAATAGTACAATCGATTTCTTGTCTCAATCAAATCATAATAGAGTTAATTTAATAGTAAGTTAAATTAATAATTTATCTATTTTAAGATTAATTGAATGACAACTAATGAACATGACATATGTCAATTTATTATTGATTTCTATACAATATTTTTTGAGGAAAAATAAATCTATAACAAATTTGCTATTACGAACAATAACAAGGATTATTCAAGTTTTATTGCGTAACTGTTCGAAGTAAATTTAAATATACTACGGATGTTTTAAGTATCTAGAAACAATGTAAACTTTAAAAACATGAATTAATAATGTAATAATTATAAAAGAATGAATAGAATTGATTAAGAAAGTTTACAAATATAGAATTATGAGTATATATAATTACTTAAACAATAACAACAGTTATTTATTACACTCACGGCGCTGAAAGTATTGAGAGATAAATCACAGAATTTGCCAGCTGTAAGCTTGGGTGGATAATAAGACTTCATCATAATCATAATAAGATCCACAGCCTTTTGGCCATAAATCATACCAATTAACTTCATACGCTGCTAAACCGATTTTGCCAAACTAATGAAATAATGAAATAATAGAAATAATTGAATATTGCAATTGTTATTATTTATTTAAAACAGGATTTATATATTATGAATTATTGATGATTGAAGATACTCTGAAAACAAATTTTTATTTTCAGCCCTGTAAAAAATACCTCTTCTACGAGAAGTTCGCCGATATAACAAAATATTAGATCATTGAATGTTAAGGCTATAAGTAACAAAATATATGACATGATGCTCACGGCGTCGCTATTCTCCCATTCCTGAGAAGATAAACATACAACTAAGTAAGTATCTTAATAATTTACCCGTGCAAAAAGAAGACTATTTCTGTTTTGTTACGGTTTAAGTACTCGCTACAATACTATATTAATTACTCACATTTTGTAAAAATATAGACAGTAAACTCTGAGGGTGCGTCCAAATTATTGAACTGAAACTCGAGCCGAATATAGAGCCACAACTTTCATTGCTTTTTGCCGAGCGGCGTAACAAATACCGAAATACTCGCGACTCGAGGTTCATCTTGAGTTTCGGCTCGATAATAATCTGAATGCACCCTAAAAAAATATATTTATTTGCATATACTACAAAAACTTTTTGACATATCGGAAAAGATTATTACAAGTCGCAGATTGTGAATAAGGAATATTATGAGACAAGTAAAATTTGTCTGCATCAAATATTTACATTGCTGAAAGATAGAAAAAAATGAATCACTATATAAGCATAACAGATATAATATTAATTAGCCTGACTTTTGGAACAAATACACGACTCATCCATTTTTATCAATATCATATATTATTGTAGCAAGCCCTTTAATTATTATAGTATTAAATCAAGAGTTATATTAAAAGTACGATAAAATTTGTAGTACGCGGGTAGCTATAATTACATTATCGTGCGTGTCTACTGCCATAATTTTCTTACCATTAAGAAAAGGTACTCGAGCAAGCATATCATCAAGGTTGCAGTCACCAGTTCCACTAAGCATACTTCATGTAATATTTTCTCCACGTCAGTCGTAAATCTAGAAACGCGCCATGTATCTACTCCAAATAAATCTAGAAATGTATCATGTAAACTATCTCGGCGCTTTCTCCATCTCACCTCAGCACACGCACGTGATGCTTCGTTAAGAAGCTCAGACGTTTCTCCATATTGGTACCTTCAGTCCTCTTCCCATTAATTAGATCATCCAAAAGCATCACCAATATCTGCACCTGTCCGCGTGCGTGCGTCGCAAAGTTCGCGGCCAGACTGCACACTGCTGCCGTAGCGCTATACTGTATCACAGCGGACAGGCAGTGTATACAAAAGATGATTTCGTAAGCGGGACTTGTTTGAGAATCGAAATAGAGATCATATCCCGGATAAAGCAGCGATTTACTTGTGAAGTTACCGTCTGTCTTTGTTCTGGAAGTAAATGGCAAGATCGTATGATAAAACAAGCCGCCACCGTAAAGAAAAATCACGCAAAGCATCGTTATTCTGCTATCAGCACGTTCCTCAGTATCATTCTGCGATGATTCTGATATTGCATTATCCGCCAATCGCTCTCGACGTGTTCGATACACTTTCCGATCGTTGAGATACGCGTTCCGAGGAAGCAATATTTGATCACGGAAGTTAGACAGAAGCTAAATGGTTCAAGAAACTGGATTTTATTTTCAATGTCCTAGAATAGAAAGTACGAACCGGCAGGCCCAAGCACAAAGCACAGACCGAAGAAACTCATGAACATCAACATTAAAGAAAGGAGCTTCTCGCTTTGCGAAGAGCGACCGTAAATTATGTGTCAAATACCGATCGACAGGATCCACCGACTTAACTGTATAGCGTAATATATGTCATGCTCATAACGTATGTTGTGTATCTTGTTTCTTGTGACGCAAGCGCGAGCAAGTAATGACTTCAATGTTGCGTGTATGTGCGTTTCATGGCTGTCATATATGACCAGGTGCTCAGTCATGCGTATGCGAACAATTGATTCTCCCCTCGGTCATTGCTTGTCCGTGGGCTCATTCAGTGATGTGCAAGCGTGAAGGGATTGGAAGTTCATAACGTGTTCTACACGCAATGCGTAGCCTCGATGTCTCTCAAGCAAAATCCACCGTTGATGATTTTTTAAATATTATCTATATGTTATATGTTATTTTACAATTGCAATTTTCTAGTTTTGTTTCTCTTTTTTTGATATACTAAATTTTAATTTTTAATCGCAGTATATTTTTTGTCTTACGATCAATCAGATCGTAATAGTAAGTTTAATTTCATTTATCAATATTTATAATCTATTTTTCTTTTATCAATAATTATAATCTTTTTTTTAAAATTGATTGAATGACATATTATGACAGATAATGAATGTGACATATGTTAATTTATTATTTTTTGAGAATAGATATAACAAACTTGCTGTCAGGAACAATAAGGAGAATTATAAGTTTTGTATATTTTTTGTGGATTGTAATTATAAATTTTATTGCGTAACTGTCCGAAGTAAATTTAAATAGACTACGGATGTTTTAAGTACCTAAAAACAATGTGAACTTCAGAAATTATTTAATAATGTAACAATTATAAACAAATGAATAGAATTGAACAAGATGGAGATCATCAATTTTACAAGTGTAAAATTACACAAGTATAATTACAAAGTTACTTAATCAATAAGAATAGTTATTATGACACTCACAGTGCTGAAAGTATTGAGAGATAAATCACAGAACTTGCCAGCTGTAAGTTTGGGTGGGTAATAAGACATTGTAATGATCATTACAAGATCCACAGCTTTATGGCCTGGTAAATCATACCAATTAACTTCATACGCGGCTGAACCAATTTTGCCAAACTAATAAAAATAGAAATAATTGAATATCAAAATTATATTATATTTGTTACTATTCATTCATCAAAATGGGATTCATATATTATGTATTTTCAATTGTACTTCTGAAAAAATTTTTATTATTAACAATATATTGTAAAAAATACCTCTTCCACGAGGAGTTCGCCGATATAACAAAATATTAGAATATTGAACGTTAAAGATATCAGTAACATAAAATATGTCAAGATGGCCACGGCATCGCTATTCGCCCATTCCTGAGGAAACAAACGTATAACTAGATATTTAGAATTTATTAATGAAAAAAGAAGATCCTTTCTATTTAAAGGATTTACTACAATATTAGACACGTAATACACATTTCGTAAAAACGGAGAAAGTAAACTCTAAAGTTAAAAAGGTAAGAAAAATACATGCTATAATACTCTTTGATGTTTTGACACATAGAAAGTTATTACGGAATGCAGATTGTGTATATAAATATTATAAGATGAGTAAAATTTTCTATATTATAAATAATTACACTGCAGAGGTAAAAAATACGAATCATTACATAAACGCAACAAATATAACAAATATAATATTAATTTAACTTTTGTAACAAATAAATAACTCTTTCGGTATCACATATTATGTTATTGCAGCAAGATCTTCAATTATTGTAATTTTAAATCAATAGCTATATTAAAAATACGAACTTGTTATATTCGAAAAAGATATAATTATGTTATCGTGATACGTGTCTGCTATCATAATTTTCTTACCGTCATGCAATAATACTCGAGCAAACAGATAATCAAGGTTGCTGCAACCAGTTCCAGTAAGCATATTTCACGTAATATTTTCTCCACGTCGGCCGTAAATCTAGAAACGCGCCATGTATCTATCCCATATAAATCTAGAAACGCGTTATGTAAACTATCTCGGCGCTTTCCTCGTCTCACCTCAGTACACGCACATGATGTTTCGTTATCAATCTTAAACGTTTCTCCACATTGGTACCTTTAGTTCTCTTCCCATCGACTAGATCATCCAAAAGTGTCATCAATATCTGCACTTGTCCGCACGCGTGCGTCGCAAAGCTTGCAGTCAGGCTGCACGCTGCTGTTGTAGCACTGTATTGTATCATAGCGGATAGGCAGTGCAAACAAAAGATAATCTCATAAGCGGGACTTGCTTGAGAATCGAAATAGAGATCATATCCCGGATAAACCAGCGGTCTACTTGTGAAGCTGCCATTCGTCTTCGTTCTGGAAGACAATGGCATGATCGTATGATAAGACATGCCGCCGGTGTAAAGAAAGATCACGCACAGTGTCGTTAGTTTGCGACCCACCAACACGTTCCTTAGCATCATTCTGCGATGGTCATAATGTCGCACGATCCGCCAATCGCTCTCGACGTGTTCGACACATCTTCCGATCGACGAGGCTCGCGCTCCGAGGAAGCAATATTTGATCGCGGAAGTTAGACAAAATCCAACAGGTCCAAACAGCTTTACCTTAATGTTAATGTCCTTCTCACGAAATAGAGTGTATGGACCGGCAGGTACAAGCACGAAGCACAGACCAAAAAAGCACACGAAGATCAGTATTAACGAAAGAAGTTTCTCGCTTTGCGACGAGCGACCGTAAATCATGTGCCAGATACCAATCGGTTTCAGGATCCATCGGCATAGCTGCATAGCGTAGTATATGTCATGCTTGTAATGTATATTGTGTATCCTGTCTGGAAGTTGGGATCGATCGCGCATGCTGTCGTCCATAGTGTACAACGCCGACTGAAATACGCACACGATACCATCCTGATGTCTGCGTGGCGACGCAAGCGCGGGAAAATGATGATGTCGTGATCGCGTGTAAGTGCGTCCCATGCCTGTTATGTATAACGTAAGGGGAAGACGTGCACATAGGTCTCTCTTTTCCAGTCATTGCATGTCTGAGGATCGTTATGTCGATGGCGAATGAAAGTGCGTAACATCATTAAAATTTACGAATTCTAATATAGTAATATAATAATAATTATGCGTAATATGGTAATAATTATGCGGATGTTCTCTTCGGTGTTTCTTTAGTGCGTAACGGAACGTTGGAAATATTACAGTCAGTATATAAGTGCGTAGGATATAGTTATTTGCACTTTGCCTAATATAGTATATAACTTAGCTTTATATTGTATTTTATAGGGAGTATAATATAATATTAGTTAATCTGTAATTTCAATTTTATCAGTATCGTAATAAATTTAATTCTATTTAAGTTTATATTTACGTGAGCGATAATTTATGTAACTTGATTTATTAACAAATATGCTGACGTATATGTATTTAAATTTTATTAAATATATTTTTTAACGCACTAACGTTACTATATAGTACATCTCGATAACGATGATTTTCGTATTAAATGTAGAAGGTACGAAGTAAATTCAGGTAAGCCACGGACGCTTTAACAATCTGGAATTTTGTCTTCTATCCATTTCTTATAAATAATCAAAAATAATTTTCATGTATAAGTAAAAATAATTTTAATACTACTCACACTGCAAAAACTGGCTAAGGATAAATCCATAAATTTTCCAGCTGTAAGTTTGATGGTGGCATTCGACATGGCCATTATTAATGTCAAACCGATTGCTCCCTTATTTGGTATACGATACCAATTTATCATATAAGACTTCATGCCAATTTGTATACACTGTTAAAAATATTTTGATGATTTTTATATAGGCAATAATTATGCCATATCTGACGTATATAGACAACAATTCTTAACGCGTTTAACAACTTAGTCATTTACGTTACAAAGTTCTTATAAAAATTGAATTTGAATTTTTTATATAAAAGTTAAGTTTAACACGAGCTTCAATAAAAAAATATCGAAATCCTTTAGTTCGAGGAAATTAACTATAAAGTTGCGAAAATAAAATTTCTATTTTTCTTGTTGTTACCCTAAGAATGTTTCAAGTCTCTTGAAATGAACAACGTAGAGAGAGTTGTTGAATACATATCACTTAATCTATTTTTTATTACATTTTTCATTTAGCACTGTTTTGTACACAAATAAATATTAAAAATTTTAGCTCAAGGTTTTATTATTGCATGTTTAACTTTTCACCAATAATAAATTAATTAATAAGTCTTTTTGTATATGCTGCAAAAAGTAAGATTTGGGAAATCGATCACCTAAATCGTTTCTGTAAGTCTTTTTTAAATCGTATATCCTTTGAAAGTATTTAATTTATGAACGAAAATAATTGAAAATATTAGATAATAATAGTAGTCATTAATTAATATGTAATAATTAATTACCTAGATAACATTTATATTGCATAAGATATCTAAAAGATATCTTTTAGATGTCTTGTGTCTAAAAGATGTTTAAAAGACGTTTTTTAGATATCTTATGCAATATACACATTATCTAATAATATCTAATATTAAATAATAATATCTAATTTTAATAATTATTAATATATATCTAAATTTAATAATTATTGAAGAAAATCAAATATTTAATAATTATTTCATAAGAATTATAAAAAGATAAATAACAAAATAAAATTGGCTCAAATATATTTTTATTGATATTTGTATTGATATAAATTAGTTTTATTGTCAATTATCAATCTTATCTCTGTAATGTATGATTTAGAAAACTTGATGGATTTTATAAAAATGTCGGTTTAATCTTTATAATGATTGCAAGTATATGTATATTAATGTATATAATAATGTAGAATATTCTACAATAAATCTTTTTTTTTTAATAAGAATATAAAAATTTATAATAAAATTGGATGATCGCGTTGTTATCTACACAAATTGATTAAAAATTAATATTACATGTACCTTTTCATTTATTTTATGCTACTAAATGTAGCCTATATTAAGTAATAATGTAAAATATTGATGAAGTATGATTTAGGTGACCAGTAAGTATTCGGCGATTTTCCTCTAATTATAGTAGAGGAAAGTTGCCATTACAATTTAAGTACCTGTTCAGCAAGGAGTTCACCAATATAGCAAAGGATAAATATATTGAATGTGAAAGATATAAGCAATGAACAGAACGTCATTGTTCCTAATGTTTCACGATGTTCCCATTCCTAAAAGGCTAACATCAAAATGTTATGAGCATTAAATGTAATTGTACTATATTGTGAACTTACTTAAAATATTGTCTGTAAATATGTTTCGTACCGTCATCATATTGAATCCTAGAAAACATATGTTTAGCGTACATCCGACTACATCCACGAGACAAATTTCGTTTAAAATTTTCTCTGTGCGAGCGATAAAACTGAAAGTTACGCGATTAAAATTTAAAAATAAGCTAAAATCTATTTACATAATATATTTTTTATTTTATTATATAATAATATATTAATTTTTCGATATATGTTTGTTTGATAATTATCAGGATTGTTAACGCAAAGTTTACTCCAATTATAAAATTTTTTTGTATATAATATTATATTAATTGTTTATCATAATGTTAGATTTCTTATTTTATAAGAAAAATTGCAAATAATTTCATTCTTCTGTATACAATCGGATTGTATCGCTCGGATAAAATCGTCTTCATATACAATGTTACCTGAGTATTCTAATATGATGTTCCACGATGTCACCGAGTCTTCCCTCGTGCGTACTATTCGCACTCTTCCTCTCTTTTCCGTCTGCGAGATCCTCCAGCTTTAGCATGAGTATCCGAAATTGACCGCAGGCATGCATGACAAATACTGCTGTCAGACTGCACACGCTGATAGTGATCGTATAAATGACGTAACCAGCTAAAGCTTGTGTGAATTGCGCGATTTCGAAGGATGGCGTGGTGCGTGGATCGAAGAGACCACGATAAATTGGAAAGGAGAGCGATCTCACTGTCTCGTTGTCAATGATCTCTGTCCTCCTTGCGCAAATCGGCATCACTGTGGTGAAGAATATACCTGCGGAATACATGAAGATCGCGCTGATGGAGGATAGCCACCTGCCGAACTTAGCATTGTTCACCATTATTTCTCGATCTTTCTCATGATTCAACGCGACACGGCTCCAATCCACGCGAATGTGCCGAATGCATTCGTCGATGTTCTCGCTGCGTTTAATGAGGATGTATTGTTTCATCGCGGCCATTAGGAAAAAACTGACCGGACCGATCATCCTGATCTTGGTATCGAGATCAGTGTCTACTAGGATAGTGCAGAGAGTGCATGGGATGAGCAGGAAACATATCAATAAACAACTGATCACCGTCAGAATCATGCAACCAATTTTTTCCATTGTGGTCTCGCAGAGAGTTAAGGGCCATACCCCGATCGGCTTCAGAAACCAACGATTCATCTGAATGCTATAATTCCAGCCATCCGTTATGGATTTGATAGACTTTGACTTTGAATAATCAGGCATGATAATGACTAAATCGCGACGATGCACATAACTGACTGAGCGTCAGTGAATTAATCGTCAGTCAGTTCGACATGCGCATGTGCGTCTTCTGTCTATAAACGTTCGTGCGTGAACGCAATTGATTCCTTCCTGTCCCTTTCTGCTTGCTGGCTATTTCATTATTAGTGAGACGGATTATAGTTCCTGGAGTTTTATTGCGTGCTTCATGGAAATCCTTTTGCGGGGATGTAGATAAGGAAATAAATTTTATAGGAAAGAAGGGTTCTAACCGTTATTCATCCAAGGAGAATATGTAATATACTGAGAACATATTTCCTATTTCATAGTATTTTCTAACATAATCGATAGAGAATCTTCTGTGTGTATTTGATTTCGCATTTGGTATCTTGAACGGGAAATGAGTGTATCTTCAAAAAGAGTGTAATAATAAATTTGAAATATAAATTTCTCTCTAAGGATTGTATCAATATTACTTGATTTTAAACGAAGCTTAAAATTTATCTCATTTTCTCTTTGTCTCATTTTAAAGCAAAAGAGAGATAGAGACAGAGAGTTTTAAACTGTGCTTAAAGTCAAAGTAACGTTGGTGCAACCAGACGATTAAACGACGATTAAAATATTTCTTGAAATTACTATTGACTATTATTATAATGCAGCATGTATGAAAATACAATACAGTGATAATGTTGGCTAAATAAATTTATTTCAATAAGTGTACTTTTACATACGCAAAATGCACATAAATATAATTACTTGGAACATATTGCCAATATCTTCAGAATTTATAAAGTGAGACTTGTGTGTTATTTGCCTCATATCTCAGCTAATAATAGGTAGAATCGAGGTCAAGGAATTAGTGTCATTGATCAATCGACATTGATCAATTCTACTGATTATTTTTAGTGGAAATATGTACATCGTATTTATAATCTCATAAAATTTTATAATTAACTATAATTAAAATTTATATCATATATTTTTAAATAAATTTTTAATAAACAAGAATACTATTTTGTTAATTTATAGTTTGTGATCTGGATAATAGGTACTTATTCAACATAAACAAATATTACATAAAGTTTTTATTAAATATCTATATTTATTTTATTATTATTTTAATAATTGCTTATTTTGCATATTGTTATTTTTTCATGCCAAAGTTGTATAATTATTTACGTAAGCAGTATAGTCCGAAGTATATTTAAATATGCTAATGCAGATTTAATTACCTAAAGCAATTAGAAATTACTTATCTGCATTTGAAAATTGATTATTTTTTGTAGAAATATTTGTATCTTAAAACATTTATACAACTATATTACACGAATGTTACACAGATAAAATGTCAATAATACAAAAATTATACCATTCTTTATTCAAGTATATAAATTGTATATATTTTATATATATGCATAGATTGTATGTATTTTTGCATACTCACATCACCGAAAGTGGAAAATGAGAGCTGAACAATTTTTCCGGCAGTTATCTTGAGGACAGCGTTGGATCTTAAAATTATCAGAATGAGCCCCTGGGCAGTTTTTCCAGGTAAGAGGTACCAGTTTGTCATATAGGCAGATTTACCGATCTGTTCGCCCTAAAGGCCGTTTTGTACCTGTTGTAATTCGATTAAAGAAACCAGCGATATTGCATCTTAATAAATTCCAATACGTAAATTCCAATACATAAATCTCAATCTTGCGAATGTATATTATATTTTTTAAAACTTTTAGATTGAATCTCACTCTAAAGAGTGAAAGAGAGCTCTCTTAAAGACTGGCTCCATTTTCATTCTTTAAAGTGAAATCGCACTCTATAAAATTTAGAAAGTAATGTTATAATTTTTTAAATTATAGATAAAGAGTGTATAGTTTCTTACTGTTAAATTTTTAAGTTAAATATTACCTGTTCAGAAAGTATCTCCCCGATGTAACAAAATATAAAAATATTAAAAGTAATCGAAGATAATACCATCGAATGTGATAAGATACTTTGATGATTACCATCAATAAAATCCTAAAAGAGATATTAAGATGTGATATATATATAGTTAAACGATAGAAATGCGAAGAATTGAAACGAAATAATATAAAGTATACATATATTCCGAAATAATTTCCATACCATAATGCAATAATACCCTAAGAAACATATATGCATAGTACATCCAATTAATTCTACAAGGCATATTACATTCATAATTTTTTCTGTACGAGATACAAAACTGCAAATATAGAGAGCATAATCGATTATAATTATTTTCCAGCAATTTTAATTTTATTAAGTTATTATTTAGTACGCAACATTTATTATATAATTTTTACATTAAAAAATAGAAAATTCACACATCATAAATTAAAAACATGTAGATGTTATAAATTAAGCATATAACATTTGCATTTAAAAAATTTTGCTGACATTAACTATATTTATTGCACTATTATTTAATTGTGTTGGATTAGATTTGATGAAAGCGCAGATTAAAAAATATTGAAAGAGCCATACTTAAAGAAGATAGCTCACCTCAAGATTCTTAAATGGTGATTCACAATGATTGCAAATCTTTGCCTCAGAGAAGTTCTTTCCTCTTTTTTATCGTCAATGAAATTTTCAAGCCAGGATATCATGATTTTCATTTGGCCACACGCATGCATCACGAAAACTGCTGTCAAGCCGCATGTTGCGACCGTAACGCAGTTGACGACGAAGGACGAAAGACACTGTAGAAAAAATACGAACTCGTATGCCGGACTGAAGTGCACGTTTAGAATCTTGTTGTAGAAAGGATAAGGTAATCCGCGAACTATTATGCTGCTATTTTCCATGTACAGAATACTTTTAGAAAGACCTTGGACGACATTGTACGAGAACACACCGCAGTGCATGAACACGGCACAAAAACCGGCGATGAATCGACCTAACTTGGCGCTCTTTAACATCACTTTTTGATCCTCGAATCTCCTGATGATCAGCCAGTCCATTTTCACGTGTTCCACACAATTGTGTATATCGTCAACGTGCATCAGGAGGCAGGAATAATTCACCATCGCTATGAACCAAAAGGTGAGCGGACCGAAATTTTGTAGCCTGGTCTCGTAGGACATCTGTGAATCGATGAGCATACTCAAACCATTAGGTACCATGGTAGTAATTATCAGGAAGTAACATATAAATATTGCGAAATCGGAGCGGATCTTTTCGATAAGTGAGGCGTTGACGGAACGCGGCCATACACTAATTGCCTTGAGAATCCAACGTATTATCTGGATACTATACTCGTTGTATTTATCGACTAAGTACGGAGAGATACTAGAATTATCTGCTAGATCATCCCCCATGATTTTCTGACGAAGGTAGTCAACTTACTGAACTTCTATTCTTTCGCTGTCGCACACGCAGTTGTAATGATCAGCGCGTGCGCAGAAATTGAACAGTACATGATACGACAAGTGATCTTTACAATGTATTGTCGTGTATTATTGTGATAATGTGCAGCCGCCGCGGCAACAGGTAGAAACAGCGTGTAATCGATATTTAGGCCTGAAGTTTTACGTATACTGGACAGTTTTTAAACACGCGCATTGAAAATCACGTCTGCGAGTAAGATCAATAATTTTATTGAGGAAATTTGTTATAATATATATAAGAATACATATATATATATAAGAATATATATAAGAATA